ACAGTTTACACTTTGGGAAACTGAGGCTGTCATTTCACTGAAGTGAGGTCACTCGCATGGGTCAGTATGACTTATAAGTGAATTATTCATGCATCTTTGGGCCACAGTTTCCTCATATGAAAACCCAAGACTTGATACCTCTTCAGGGAGATGCCTGGGACGGTGGTGAGGATGCCTAAAGCTGGGGGTAGAGGGCTTGCTAGGTCGCTAAATCCTCCTCCTCTGGTCCACAGGGAGCAGCTCCCCGAGTCAGCCTACATGCACCAGCTCCTGGGCCTCAACCTCCTCTTCCTGCTGTCCCAGAACCGGGTGGCTGAGTTCCACACGGAGTTGGAGCGGCTGCCTGCCAAGGACATCCAGACCAATGTCTACATCAAGCACCCTGTGTCCCTGGAGCAAGTGAGACAGCAAGGGGCAGGGGAGGGCCTGGCCGGAGGGGCTGGTGCAGGGACGGCCTTAGGAGGCCTTTCCTGAAGGGGTGGCCAGGGTCCATCCACCTTTCCACCCACGGACTCATCTTCTTGTTTGCCCGGCAAATAGTCCCCGCTGTGTGCCTGGTGCTGTGGTAGGTTGTCAGACTGTGCAGTGAGCCAAGCAGATGAAACCCGTGATCTTGTGGTGGTGACATTGAGGGCAGAAGCAGATAGTAAGCCCGAAGAGTGAGTGGCCTGTGCGGTCTGTCAGATGCTGAGTGCTGTGGGGAAAAGGAAGGAGGGTGGAGAGGTAGGGGCAGGGGTGACAGTTACTCGGGGAGTCAGAAGGCCTTGCTGAAAAGGTGAAATTGGAGAAAGACTTGAAAAGGGTGAGGAACTGGCTCACGCCTGTAATCCCAGCACATTGGGAGGCTGAGGCAGGAGGACCACTTGAGCCCAGAAGTTCAAGGCTGCAGTGAGCTGTGATCACACCACTGTATTCCAGCCTGGGTGACAGTGAGATTCTATCTCTATTAAAAAAATAAGTAAAAACTTTTTTTTTTTTTTTTTTTTTTTAAAGAAAAGGGTAAGGAACTGAACCCTGTGGACAGCCAGGCAGAGGGACCAGCCAGTCCAGGTGTCCTAAGGCAGCACCATGTCTGTCGAGGGACAGCCAAGAAGACAGTGTTTTTGGAACAAAGTGAGCAGGCCCAGGGCAAAGCCTTAGACCTAAGGTTAGGAAGTTGTTCCTGGAGTTGACGTCTTACGGGAGGATTTGGTCATGGGGGAGAGGGTGGGAGAGAGGGCAGTTAGGGCGGGCAGCACAGTTCGGGCAGAGGTGTACAGGGCTGAGCCTGGAGTGGAGCCAGCCCTGTCTCCCTCCTGGAGAATAGATGGATAATTGGAAGTAGATGAGATAATGAGATGCCACCTCAGAGCAGGCTTGGGGGAAGCGAGGGAGGAAGGGGGAGAGAGAGAGTGTGTGTGAGTATGTGTATGTATAAACCAGCAAGGGCTTTCTGGAACGGGGGGTATCCAGGGAAGGGGTGTGGCTCTGGGGCAAAGGGTGTTCTGGCAGTGTAGAGCTTACAGGGGCACTGGGAATGTGATGAAGCCCACACAGGTAGGCCTCGTGCAGCCTCCTTTTGACTCTTGCCTTCCCCTTCCCGGCCTCTGCAGTACCTGATGGAAGGCAGCTACAACAAGGTGTTCCTGGCCAAGGGAAACATCCCCGCCGAGAGCTACACCTTCTTCATTGACATCCTGCTGGACACTATCAGGTGCATGGCAGGCCCAGGCCCCGAGGGGTTTGGAAGGAACTTGGGCTTGAGTCAGACAGCTCCGAGTCTGAATCTTATTCCAGCCACTGGTTGTCTGGGTAGGCTAGGCCTGTTTCTCATGCTTCTAGCACCTCAGGACTCCTTTTCAGTGAATTGGGCCTGGGCATGGGATTGTGGATAATAGCACTCATCTCACTCACCACCCTTGGCTGCTGAGCTGTGTGGCCACGTGTGTCCAGCCCGAGCATAGGCTTGATTCAGCAGGCACGGACTGTGCTGCCTGTCTTAGTCCGTCTTCCATCCCAGATGCCCATCCACTGAGTCATGAGACTTCACCTCAGGTTACCAAACTCTGGAACCCTCAGTTTCCCCTTCTCTAGAATGGGGTCACCAAATCCCAGCGGCGCCTTGGGTTGCTGTGTGCACAAGCGACATCACATGGGCAGGCGGATGCGATATACAAATCCCTTGAGGAGTAAAAGGATATCGAAGTGGTGGCCGAGCTGGTTCACTTGGGCAGAGCACCAGATTGGAATGAGTTTCCATTCTTTAGGTGGCAAAGGCAAGCCCAGAGACACTCAAGTGAGGAGTGGTATCCAGTACCCACTACCCACCACATGGCCTAAGAGATGTGGGAGGCACTCCTCCAGGTCACTGGCCTTTCCCCAGAGCTAAGCCCCTCCCCCACTACAGTGACTTCACGCCTCGATCTTTTTCTACTTCAGTGTTGTTCGTGGTGCCTATTGATGGGTACAAGGAACCCCCTCAGGATCTATGAAGCATGCTGGTGAAGGGTGTTATATGAAGAGATGCCCTCATGTGAATCCCAAGCTGGGTTTCAGACCTGAAATCCTGTGGCTGGGAGTGGGATTCAGAACGTGGGCCCAGGAGTCAGAGATCTCGGTGGGGATCCCCCGTAGCTCTTGCTTGCTTTGCGAGTCTGATCAAGTTTCTCCCCCTCTGAGCCTTGATGAATGGAACAGGGCCCCTCACATATTCCTGCCATCAGTGCTGAACTCCAGGGTCAGAGCTGACACGGGGCAGGTCTGGGGGGACAGGGCCTGGGAGGTTGTTGATGCTCAGTAATGAGGAGCTTCTCGTCTTCCCCCAGGGATGAGATTGCCGGGTGCATCGAGAAGGCCTACGAGAAAATCCTTTTCACCGAGGCCACGCGGATCCTCTTCTTCAGCACACCCAAAAAGATGACAGACTACGCCAAGAAGGTGGCCGGGGTGCAGGGCAAGGGGCCGTGGGACCAAGGGGTGCAGTCACAACTGTGGGGTAGCCTAGAGGGACACTGGAATAAGACTGCCCAAGTTTAAGTTCAACTGTGTGACTCTAGGCAAGCTGCCAAAGCTCTCTGAGCATCAGTTTCTCTATCCACAGAATGAGGCTAGAGCTAATACATGGGATGAGCTTAGCACGTGACACCAGCCGGAGGGGGGCGCTACACGCATGTTGGCTGCTGTCTTTACGAAAATTTCTTAGAGGGGGCAGCTTTTTCTGCAAGACTTGGCTTCATTTAGTCTCAGGCATTTGAGCATGAACCATGCTTGGTGTTGCAGGAGGAGGGCCAGGACCAGGCTATGGAAGGTAAAATTGGACTGGGCACGGTGGCTCACATCCACTAAGGTGGATCCTCTCACCTCAGCTCACTTTGGGAGGCCGAGGTGGGAGGATCATCTGAGGTCAGGAGTTTGAGACCAGCCTGGCCAACATGGAGAAACCCTGTCCGTACTAAAAAGTACAAAAAACTAGCTGGACGTGGTGGTGGGTGCCTATAATCCCAGCAACTTGGGAAGCTGAGGTAGAAGAATCGCTTGAACCCAGGAGGCAGAGGTTGCAGTGAGCTGAGATGACGCCATTGCACTCCAGCCTGGGCAATAAGAGTGAAACTGGGGAAAAAACAAAAAGGTGGAATTGCATTTGAGTGATGGTGACAGCTGATACTGATAGATCACTCTGGCCAAACACTATTCTCAGCACTTTAAAAGTGTTGATTCACTGAACCCTCACAGTCGACCCAGAGAGGTATGTAATTAGGGTCCCATTCTCAACACAGAGAAACTGAGGCACGGAGAGGGGAAGTTACTTGCAAAGAGTCGTTGGGGTAGAGTAGCTTTGGTGAGAAGAGGGGGCATGGCACACATGGGCAAGTGCTGGCTCCATGGGGTTGAGATGGTGCCTTTGTAATCACCCCACCCATCTCTAATCCCTCCCTTCCTGCAGCGAGGGTGGGTCCTGGGCCCCAGCAACTACTACAGTTTTGCCAGCCAGCAGCAGAAGCCAGAAGACACCACCATTCCCTCCACGGAACTGGCCAAACAGGTCATCGAGTATGCCCGGCAGCTGGAGATGATCGTCTGAGCCCACCGGTCACTGGGTGGGGCAGGGCACCAGTTATTTAAAACAGTTACAGCACAGGGTTTCCTCCAATAAAGGTGGATTGACATTCTCTCTTCCAGGCCCTTGTCTCCCCAGTTGGGATGGCAGAGAGACAGTTTCTTATCTCTGAAGAACTTAGAAGTTTTGGGGTGCTGAGAAGTTGGAGATAACACCCTCCGACTGGGCAGCCTCTGGTGGCCATTGCTCAGGGTCTCAAACACAGATGCCCATTGTGTGGCCCAGCAGCATTGTGGCCTGCAGGAGGGCATGGCCCCAGGTAGGGGGATTGTTCTAGCCAGCTGTGGACACAAAAGAATGCTGGGCGAGGGTACCGGAGTCTTTCAACAAAAGGGGTGAAGTGTCCCATTAAAAAGAAATGTTGGCAATGAATTAAACAGTTTTTCGAATGACATGTGAAATGGAACCCATCTGTGGGCTGCCAGTTTGAGCCCTTTGTGGAACAAAGGTGTGGGCTTATCATGGGTCCCTCTCTCCCTGAGCCAGCACAGTGATTGAGGACCTCCTCTCACACCCACCAGCCTAAGTTTCCTGCCTTGAAATTCCTGGGAAAGTGTTCCAGGCGTGGGGTCCAAATCTGGCTGAATATCTTGTGGGATGTGGAAAGAGCAAGTCTTCCAGAGTCAGTTTTCCCAACTGTAAAATGGGAATGATCACTCCTTTGCCAAGTGGTTTGTGCTGAGCCTCCGAGCTTGGTACCAGGTCAGCTCAGAATCAGGGCTTATGGATGAAGGGGAATGAGATCCTGCCCTGGGCCCATCAGTCTGGGTGCTGGATGAATGGAACCTCAGCTGCTGCTGCTCTGGTCTGGCCTCCTGATTGTTTGCAAGATGTGCTTTAATTGCGACCGTGCTGCACCCTACTCCTCCAGGCCTTGGCGAGTGATTGACAATCTGTTGGCATCTGGATTGGTCATTTTATTGGCATGGAGAGGAAGGTGGAGGTTATTGGCCCGACTACACTCAATTGGAATGGGTGGTCTGCAGGTCGTAGTGCTCCAGCCCAGCCACCAAGGAGCCGGCCAGCTTGATGGTGGCAACCCAGGGCGGCTCGCTCAGGTGGTTGGTGGGCGTGCTCAGCCTAGGCAGGAGGGTAGAGAGCAAAGCCCCTCAATGTGACCAGGTCCCTACCCCTTCTAGGGCCTCCCTGTCCCCATATGAATACGGAAGCTTTTGAAAGCCATGTTGGAATATCCCAAAGGCAGTTTAGGGCAGGGCTGTGTCCACTTCATAGGGAAGGGAGCTGAGTGCTGGTGAGTGTCCCAGCTAAGCCTCAAGAGGTCCGGAATGGTCTCAGTGATTCAGCGTCCCCAGGAGCCAGGATCAGACACTAGTGGCCAGATGTGGTGATTCAGTGTGGGTAGGGGGTGGCCAGAGGTTGCAGTGTTCCCCCTGGATGTGGCACTCAGGAGCCTCCCCAGCATAAGGGCTGGGAGGGACATGAGTGCCCTCTGGTGGCTAAAGCCTCAGTCCCACAGTCAGGAGAAGTTGCCAGAGGCTAGAGGGGTCAGGAGTTCAGGGCTGCCCCTGTGCATAGTAAAGTTGAGAGGGCTGCATCTACCCCCTTTTAGTCCCAGGAACAGTCATCTCCTCACCCCCATCCATGAATGGCTTGGGACGTGGTCCTCCTTGGTACCCTCAGGGATAGGGTCAAGGCAGTGTATAGTGTCAGGCCAGCTGGGACCAGCCTCCTCCCTCTCTGATGGCTCAAGAGGTACAGGAGGGCCAAGGGTCCACTTGGAGATCGGATGCCATAGGGCTGGGCCAGGGTGTCCCCTTTCCTGCCAAGGTCAGCATGGGATCAAGGGTCCTCTTGGTCCTGCAGGGTGGGAGCTCAGCTAGGTTTGAAGTGTGGCAGAGAGGAAGGCCATGGGTCATTCTAGGGTCAGGAAGCCAAAGGGCTGAGTAGGACTCTATCCAGGAGTCTGGGGTTCGGTAATTCGAGGGGTATCCCCTCTGGCCCCTTCTCCCCTCTTCTCACCAGGCAGAGACGTTGCGTGGCAGGCGGCGATGGCGTGGCTGGTGGCGGCAGTAACACTTGCAGGGACAGGAGTTAAGCACCTGGAAGGGCGGCCAGTGGCGCGCAGCGCCGGTGTTAGCTGCCCCAGCCTGAGAGGCCCCGCTGCCACCACCCCCTCCACCGCCGCTGTCAGGCACAGTAGTTGTAACTCGTTCGCGAGGACCATCTCCAGGCAAGCCGTTCTCACGGGTCGTGCCCCGGGCTGCACGGGAACCCTTGTTCCTGCGCGTGCGGGACTTGGGCGCAGCCGCGGGCGCGGGCAGCGAGGGCTCAGCCATGGTGGGAGCTGGAGCCAGGGATGGGGCTGGGTCCGGGGCCGGAGTCTGGTCGGCGGCTAAGGCTGGGGGCAGAGCAGGGGCTGGGGTGGGAGCCAGGGCTGACTCCGCGTGGCCTGGGCCTGGGGTGGGAGCCAGGGCTGACTCCGCGTGGCCCGGATCTGGGGTGGGTGAGGGAGCCACCGGCAGCGGCGTTGGCCGGAGCGCAGGTGGCTGCAGTGTGGGCGGCGGCGACGCGGGCGGCGGTGTGGGCGGCAGCGCAGCCGGCGGCGTGGGCGGCGGCATTGGTGGTAACTCCTGCAGGCCTGGAGGCCCTGGGCGCACGGGCTCGCCTTTGGTGGGTGCCGGGAAGATGAACATAGGCGGCGCCAGCAGGGCAGGTGCCGGCCTCCGGGGCTCCGGAGCTGAGTTCATCTGCCCCGGTGGTGGCGGAGACGAGCCCCAGGGGCCAGAGAGTGCGGCCGCGCGCCGTCGCGGCGCCCCAACGCCTCCACCAGCCCCGTTGAAGCGGAAGTGGCTTTCGGGGCCGTCGGGAGCGCTCACCCAGTCGAATTTGGGCTTCGAGCCTGGGAAGGTGGTGTAGGGTGGCGGCGGTAGGGCCCGGGCTTGGGACGCAGGCGCCGAGGGAGGACCAGAGCACCCTTCGCCGTCTCCATCACCTCCCTCGGCTTCCTGTGCCCCTCGCGGAACCTCTCCCAAGGGGCGAGCGGCTCCAGGAGGCAGGGGCCCTTGCTTCAGGACCTCAGCATAAGAGATGGCACCTGAGGCAGCAAAGAGGCCGCCGCCTCCGCCGCCCCCGAGCGAAGCTTTGGCTGCTAAGGAACTCGAGGCTGCCGGAGGGGCTAAAGAGGGCCCCGACTTGAAGGTGACTTTGCACAGCAGGCTCAGGCTGGACTCGGAAGCCGCAGGCCGGGCCATTTCACCTTCGCCGGCTTGGGGAGGCGCCCCTCCGCGAGCCCTGCCGGCCGTCTGGCCCTGGCTGCCGGGCCTAGCCTGGCTTTCTGTGGGGGTCGAGGTGGGTGTGGCCAGAGCAGGAGTGATTCTACGGTCTGCAGGCTGCCATTCGGAAGGTAATGGTGGTGGCGGCTTCCACGGCTCCAGGGAAGGTGGAGATTGGGATGGAGCCCTCGGGACAGTGTCCTTCACGGATAGTTGCCGGGGTGGTGGCGGTGGCGGCTTCGGCGGCAGCGAGCGGAGGCTCGGAGGGTCGCCCTGGCCGCGATGGCTTGCCTCCAGCAGGCCGCGGATTCGGGGCGCTGGAGTGCCCGCGGGCTTTTGCCACTTAGAGGGGCCGGGCAACAGGGTCCCCGCGGGGGCCAGGGATGGTGCGGAGACCGCGGCCGCCTCTTCAGGAGGGGGCATCACTGGAGAGGGCCGTTCTAAGGTGAGGGGCAGGGTCGAGGGTGAGGCCTGGGACTCCCCGGGTACCAGGAGTCCCCGGGGTGCGGAGCTGCCAGGAAACCAGACGCCCAGCCCGCGAGTCAGGCGCATGGCTTGGGAGGTCACCTCGGGCTCCACCAGGGATGTCCGGCGGGAGTCGGGGGCGCGGTCCGAGGCCTGCTCTTTTCGGGAGCCCCCGCCCGCGGACGGCTCCGACTGCATGTTCCCCATTTCTGACGGAGCTCGGAGACTGGTCGGAAAAACTTACGCCAGTCAGCCTTCCAGGGCCGTGGGGAACCTACGAGGCTGACTGTACTTGGTCTAATGTATTCGCACCGGCCCCGTCCAAGATCCTCTCAGGGCCAAGTCCTTAGGTCGCACTCCTGTTCCCCGACCTCCGACACTCAGGCCTTCTTTCTCATGTTCCCAACACTGCTGCAGATACTCCAGTCCCAGCCCCTTTACGTACTAAGGTTTCATGCCGGTCCCCTTGGCTGGTCACGCCGATCCCTCAGTCGTCTCCTCTAACTCCGACTCCCCACTTCTCTATGGATCGTCTGGGTCCCACCCTCTTCCCAGGCAGCGGCAGATCCTCAGGTCTCTCTCCTAAACCTCTTCCCGCTCCAGGTTTAATCTACTAGCAAGCATCCACACTCAAGCTCCACCCCTGTCCCCAAGCTCCGCCCTGGCCCCGCCTCCGCCCTGAGGAGGCCACTCACCGAGTCCTCCAGCCGACCAGAGTTCAGACCGCGGCCCCCTGGGCCCGGGGCAGGGCAGGAAACGGCCGTAGCAGAAAATAACCGAAAAGAACGGGGGTGCGGGTGAAGGCAAGTGGGCGCGACAGCGAGGACGGACCCCGAGATCTAGGCTCCGCCCCGGGAGCTCGAGGCCCCGCCCTCCTGCGAGCCCACGGGAGCCCGGCCCCTTACGAACCCGCGTCTCCCCTAGAAATACTCAGCGGTCTTCTTCCTCGCCCCCAGGGCTTCTAGTTCTAAACTCCACCCCTTTAGGTCGTTCTCCTTAGCCCCACCCCTTTGGGGTCCTTCTCCTTGCCCCCTCCCCTGTAGAATGCTCCGCCCCCTCCTTATTCCCTCCCAAGGCCCCGCCCATGCAAGCGCCGAAGCGTCGCTCCTCCCCTTTGGACCTCTCATCTGCCCCGCCCCGAAGGCAATTTACCTCTAGGCTCCGCCTTTTTAAGACCCTGCTCCTTCGCTTCCCAAGACCTTCTCCTTCCCCCGGCGTGCCCCGAAGGCCCATGCACCGTGGGCCCGCCCCTTCCGTGACGCACTCACTAGTCCTGGCCTTCAGCAGCCAAACCTCTTTATACCCAGGCCCTCCAACCCCACCCCCCTTGTGAAGGCTCCCCTCTCGCCCCACCCCTTATCGAATCCTGTCAGGCACTCAGCCCCTCCTGTTTGGAAGTCACAACGTAGACCACTGCCTCTTTAGAACCTTGAGACCAGTCCCTGTCCCTGCCCCTGTCCCCTCCTCATAGCATTAGGGACCAATGGCGCAGATGGATGGAGAAGTGGGGGATTCCCTCTGGATCTTAAGAAAATGGGGGCTGGGGGGCTGCTCTCTGGAGCTAGTGCCGGGCTCTAGGACCCAGCGGGCAAGTAAGCCCGCCTCGCTCTTACCCCTCCCCCAAGCCGCCCCTTCCCCCCCCACCCGTCTTCCAGGTTCCCCCTCCCTCCCCCCTCGCCCCGGCTCCCGGTGCCCGTCTCCAGCGCCGCCGGAGCCAGCAAGGGAGCCGGAACGAAGAGGAGGAGGAGGAGGCCGCGTCGCCGCCGCTCGGAGCCCGGCCGGAGCCTCGCAGGCAGGTGCCGAGGGGGGCGAGGCGGCGGGGGCTGACAGACCGCTTGGCCCGATGAGGGGGCGGCCAGGACCGCGCTGCGCCTTCTGCCCACCCAGGCGCCCCTCAGGCCCCGGCTGGGAGGACTAGGGAGTGGGAACCCCCCGAACTGCGCGACAACCATTCAGGGTATCGGTCTTCATTTGGGGGGTCTGGACTTTCTCCAAGGTGCCCCATTCACAAAATTCCGTCCTGGACCCTCACCATGAGGAAGGCTGAGGACCACTCCCCCCAGGCAACACAGGATGTGTGGGGAGGGTAGGACACCCTGAAATCCCAGTGCTTTATTCCAGCTAGGCCCTGGGGGGACCCCCGCCCTCATTCCCTGCTTCACCTGTTGTCGGGGGAGGCGGGCGGACAAAGGAAGCAGTGTCACGTGACTGCTCATTCACAAAATCCCATCCCATTGAGAAAAGGGGGCTGGGGGCGCTGCGGCCGCCCCTTCCCCTCCCGAAGGGCCAGGGAAACCCAGCAGCCTGCAGGTGGGGGAGGGGGCTAGAGCTCACCCGGGTCCCTAAGGTTGGGACGCCAAGGTCCCTGTGCTGGGTGGTAGTGAGGGGCTGGACGCTGATCCCGATTACTGGGCGGAGGGCTACGTCCCCTGAGCTGGGGGGCGGGGTAAAATGGTTCTGAAGGATGCTGGGGCTGGGGGGGCGGGAAGGGAAGAGGGAGGAAGGATCAATCTGCCCCCAACCCCATCTTTCCCCCTTGGATTCCCTCAGCTGGGGCCTGAGGGAGCAGCCTTGATTTTTGTGAATGAAATCCTCTCTGGATGTGTCTTCAGTCGCCCGTTTCTGACTTCCTCTGCCTCCATCTCCCTCTCGGTCTCTCTTTCTGGCCATTTCTGGTTCTCTCCCTGTTCCCTGCCCATCTCCCGTTGCCGGGTGACTCAGTGAGCTTTGCATCCGGTCTCATTCATAAATCCGGGAAGGGATGGGGGGGGGGTGGAAAGAGCCTGGGTTTCTCACCCAGCCTGTGGCCTGGAGGACAGGGTGCGGAGGCAGGGCTGGGAGAAAGGGAGCTGAGTTGATGGGCCCAGAGAAAATATATATGCGCAGGCACCCAGCTGTGAGGGGGAGCGCTGGGTGGGGCTGTGGGTATGTGCTGAGGGAGGAGAAGGGGGTGATAGGGATGAGTAGGAGGGGCAGGGGAGTGCAACACCAGGGCTATGGGGGTGGGGGCGGAGAGATGGGGGAAAGGTGGGGACAGAGAAAGGGCAGACATGGAGAAGAAGACAGAGTGGGAGAGAAGCGATGGCATGAGGAAGAAAGGAGCCAGGGTGGAAGGGGGTGGCCATGGGGTTGAGGTGGGTATTGCTAGCTTAGGGCGCAGTGGACCCTGACGTGAGAAATGAAGTTGGAGGGGAGGGGAGGGTTGGAGGAACATTCCATGAGAGAGCAGGATTCAAGCTCACGACTGTGTTGTCCCTGTCCTTCTCCCTCCTCCTGCAGGTACATGGTGCGGGTCCGAGCTGTGGTGATGGCCCGAGATGACTCCAGTGGGGGCTGGCTGCCTGTGGGGGGCGGGGGCCTCAGCCAGGTGAGCGTGTGTCGGGTCCGAGGGGCCAGGCCCGAGGGGGGGGCCCGCCAGGGGCACTACGTCATCCACGGGGAGCGCCTCCGGGACCAGAAAGTGAGCCACCCTGGGGCATGCGGGCAGGGTGGGGACCTGGGAAGGGAGGGGAGTGGGGCTGGTGTGTGGAGCAGAGGTCAGGCTGCCTTTCAGCGTAGAAATCAAACTGGGGTGTGAAGTTAGGGGGTGAATATCTGTCTTCTGGATAAGAGTTGGGAATTTCAGGATACATGGGGTGTTGGGAAGGTCCTGTTCACTGCCATTTCCTGCCGACTGTCACAGCAGCCTCCTCCCTGTCTCCCTGTACTGCTCCCCACTCCAACTGCAGTCTGCTCCACAGGGGGCACTGCCTCCACCCGACTCAGACCATGTCCCTCTTCTGCTCAGAACCCTCCATCTTGCTCAGAGATCTTCGTCAGGAGGCCCTACACCACCCTGTCTGCCCCAGTAGAAGGAAGCACTTGTTGGGGTCCATTTCAAAGTGTCAGAAACATTTGTCAATTCTATACGTGGGTTCATCGGGAATAACTGGGCTGTCTGGCACCATTTGGAGGGACAGTGTTGAAGTTTTAGCTAGGGGTATAGTAGAAAGATACGGATTGTGCGAAAGGCTTGAGGGAAAGGTTTTGTTTCACACCAAGAGTCAGTGAGGGGATTTGAAATGGAGGGAAGGAATATGGCGTTACTAGGCAAGGATTTGAGGGAACATCAATAGGGTGTTGGCTAGCACCTGAGGGGGAATCTGTGGAAGTTTAATAAGACTATTTTGGGGTAAGTGGTGGGTACAGTAGTGTGCCTATAATCCCAGCCACTCATGAGGCTGAGGCAGGAGGATTGCTTGAGCCCAGGAGTTTGAGACCAGCCTGGGCAACACAGAGAGAGCTCATCTTAAAAAAAAAAAAAAAAGGAGAACATTTTTGGGTAAAGTTTCCAGAGATTATCATTAGAAGAGGATTAACAATAATATTGTGAGATGCTCAGTAGTCTTGGAAGTATTAGAGCCAGAAAGGGGTTAATAATGTTTTCAGGCATTCCGTAAGATTTGGGGTTTCTACAGGGGTATCAGAGGGAGGTATTAGGAAAAGGTAGGGATCAAGGGGTTGGGAAAATATTGGAGTATCAGGTATGTTTAGGAAAATTGGGGGTAGCTGGGCGTGGGGGCTCGTGCCTGTAATCCCAGCACTTTGGGAGGCTGAGGCGGAAGGATTGCTTGAGACTGGGAGGTTGAGGCTGTAGTGAGCATGAGCACACCACTGCACTCCAGCCTGAGTGACAGAGCAAGACTGTCTCAAAAAACAGAAGTAAAATTGGGGAGTTGTATCAGTGTTGATCAGGGTTCAGGGGGACACCTAGGATTGGGAAATGAGGTTTTTGAGAATACACTAGGGTATGCACGGGGCCTGGTGATGGAGGAGATGTCACAGGCATGTCTGGGGTGAGGTAGCTGACCCTGCTCTCCTCCTGCCCCTCAGACGACCTTGGAGTGTACCCTGAAGCCAGGCTTGGTTTACAACAAGGTGAATCCCATCTTTCACCACTGGAGCCTGGGTGACTGCAAGTTTGGACTGACATTTCAGAGCCCTGCAGAGGCTGATGAGTTCCAGAAGAGCCTGCTGGCTGCGCTGGCCGCGCTGGGTCGAGGTGAGCAGCCCAGGTGGTGTGCGCTGGGGGCTGGACTGGGATTGGCAGGAGAAGCTGGGCTCAGGGAACTCACTCTCTGCCTCTCTCCCTGCCCCAGGCTCACTCACCCCCTCCTCCTCCTCTTCCTCCTCCTCCTCTCCATCCCAGGACACTGCAGAGACCCCCTGCCCTCTGACGGTGAGTGTCCAGGAGGCCTCTCTGCTGGGGGGACAGGGATTTTGTTTTTATTCTGTGAACATTCTTGAGCACCTACTGTGTAGCAGGCACCGTGTCAGGGACACCAAATTGGGCCTGAACTATAAGTGTAAATTCAATCCCAGTTATTCTAGTCTCTGCCCTGTCATGATTCACATATTTACTCACTGGTCTTTATTGTGTACTTTCTGTATACCAGGCAGTGTTTTAGACACTGGGTGACTTCAGTGAACAAAAAGTTCCTTTCCTCCTGGAGCCTCTATTCTAGTGTGGAAAGCCAGAGATTTAAAAAATACATAAACAGCACACGGTGACTTACACCTGTAATCTCAGTACTTTGGGAGGCCGAGGTGGGCAGATCACGAGGTCAGGCGTTCGAGACCAGCCTGGCAACGTGGTAAAACCCTGTCTTTACTAAAAATACAAAAATTAGCCAGGTGTGGTGGCGCACACCTGTAATCCCAGCTATTTGGGAAGCTGAAGAAGGAGAATCGCTTGAACCAGGGAGGCAGAGGTGTCAGTGAGCCGAGATGATGCCACTGCACTTCAGCCTCGGTGACGGAATGAGACTACATCTCACAAAAAAGAAAAGAAAAAATGCATAAACAATAAAAATGAATAAATAGTAAAAATAAATGGATGAACAAATTAATGACAGCTCCATGCTTCCAGTTACTCAGGCTGTAAAGCTTGGAGTCATCCTGACTCCTCTTACCTTTTATGCATCTCATCTTATCCCTCAGGAAATAGTAGTTCCACTTTGCAAACCATCACAATCTGCCTCCAACCTGGTACTGTCCAAACGCACCTCCCAGCTGGACCATCTCAACAGCTTCTCACTGTCAACTCCTTCCCTCCCGCCCCCCGACACAGCCAGGGGATCCCTATCAACGGCTGAGTCAGATCATGCCCCTCCCACATTCAAAACCCTCCCAGGGCCCCAGCTCACTCAGGTAACGGACAAAGTCCTTACGGTGGTGGCCCATGAGATCCCATGCCATCTGGCCCTGTGTGTCTGGCCCCCTCGCTTACTCAGCTCCAGCCACACGGCCTCCTCACTCTTATTCTGACATGGCAAGCACAGTACTACCCCAGGACCTTTGCACTGGCTATTGCCTGGAATGGTCTTTCCCAGATTTCCTCAGGACTCATTCTTTTGTTTCTTTTAGGGCTTTACACAAATATCATCTTCTCAGGGAGGGCGTCCCTGAGTAGTTAAATTTAAGTATTCCATTTAAAATTGCAATCTGTCAATGCCCCTTGTCTAGTGCTAATTTTTTCCCATTTTCTAAGGCATTTTCCTTATTTCCTTTCTGAAAACACTTGTTTTCTTAGCTATTAGTTTACCGTCTATCTCCCATGCTAGAATGTCAGCTCCAGGCCAGCAAAGATCTTTTGTTGGTTCCTTGCTGTGTCTCCAATGCCTGAAACAGTGCCTGGCACACAGTAAGTGTTTAGTAAATATGTGTTGAATAAAGTGAATGAATGAATGAATGAATGCACATAATATTGGGTGCAATTTGGCACTCGCTGGAAACTGTGGGGGTTGCTGGCAACACCTAGAGGAATAAAACCTATTCCCTGGGCAGAAAAGGGTGGAATTTCAGGGTCCTGGGAGATGGAAGAGGGGCCACAACAGTCACAGACAGTTCCTGTCCATCCAGCGCTTCCCGGGGAAAGATCCTCTGCTGTCTAGTCTCCCTCTGGAATCTGTACAGTTGTCTTTGTGAGTCTGGCACATCATGGGTGCTCAATGAATGTCTATTGAAGGCAATGCACAGATGAGGTAGAAATTATGCCCAAGGGACAGAAAGGAAGCTAAGGGTCTGAGAAGTCATGTTTCAGCTCGTTTCAGAACAGAGCCTGGTTTGCATGGGAAGGGGAACACTTGGAGTGTGTGGGACTGCTCCAATAACAGTGTGGGGCTGGGACTGAGAGAGGAAGGCAGCTGGCTGCCCAGGGGAGAGGGGTTCTGAAGAGGGGGAAGACCATTCGTTGTTCCGTAGGTTTGGCGAGCTGATCTGATCAGGAGAAGGGTGCCACAAAAATAACAGTAACCATTTCCAGCTTTCCCAGTACTTCAGGCACGTGCTGTCCCCTTGACAGTGGCCCTAACCGCATCCTTATGAATGGGTACTCTTAGGATCCCCGTTTTACAGAGGAGGAAACTGAGGCTCAAAGAGGTGAGCTCACTTGCGGGAGGTCACACGACCAGTCAGTGACAGAGCCGGGGTTTGAACCGAGGCCTTCCTGGCCGCAGAGCCCTCGCTGTCAATGGGAGGGGTCCACGTGAGGGCGTCGGCTGTGCGGGGGCGTGTCCCCGAGCTGAGGCCACCAATCTCCTTCAGTCCCACGTGGACAGCGACTCCTCCTCCAGTCACAGCCGCCAGGAGACGCCTCCCAGCGCCGCTGCGGCCCCCATCATCACGATGGAGTCAACTTCTGGCTTCGGGCCGGCCACGCCCCCCCAGCGCCGCCGCTCCTCTGCTCAGGTGCGACCTGGAAGCCTGGGGCTCCAGGGGGAATGGGGCGGTGCAGTCGGGGCCACAAGGGAGCGGGACCCGTGGCCCAGGGAGGGGGGGCGGGGGCGGGGGCGGGGGCGGGGAACACAGATCCCAGGGGCTGGCTGACCTGATAACTGGGCGGGACTGCGAGAAAGCAGCGGGGAAATGGGGAGAGGCTTGGAGGCCTGGGTTTCTAGGAGGCTTGGGTGCGGGCTTCCCGAGTCTCCTTTGCTCCTGGAGATTTTGAGGGGTGCCGAAGTCCAGAGGGGTTTGGTACCATTTTCAGAATATATTTGGGGAACTCATGGAAGAGGACTGCTTACCTCACGAGGAGGGCGGGGGAGTCGGTACCCAGAAGGGTAAAAGGGGCCCAGGAACCAAACTCCTGCGCCCTTAAGGAGGAGGTGGCTGGGGTCCAGAACCCCAGGATCTCAAGGTAGAGGGCGCCTGGGAGCTGGGGCTCTTGGATCTTAAGAGAGGACAGGACTGGGAACCTTCGGCCTCTGGGTCTTTAAAGGTGTGGGCTTCGTGTGTGGATTCTTCTGTCTGTTCCTGGAGAAAAGTGGGGATTGCGGAATCGTGGGAGAGAAGAGAGCTGGGGTCTTGAAAATCTGAATCCCAGACCCAAGAGGGTGCTAGAGAATTGGATCCTTGGGGCTAAGGCTGGGATGGATTCTGATCTCCTTGTCCCTTCGTCCTGCAGAGCTACCCTCCGCTTTTGCCGTTCACTGGGATTCCAGAGCCGTCAGAGCCTCTGGCAGGGGCAGGGGGCCCGGGGTGGGGCGGCCGCGGCTACGAGGATTACCGGCGCTCCGGGCCACCCGCGCCCCTCGCCCTGTCCACCTGCGTCGTGCGCTTCGCCAAGACCGGCGCTTTGAGGGGCGCTGCCCTGGGGCCCCCAGCGGCACTACCTGCCCCTTTGACCGAGGCTGCGCCCCCAGCGCCCCCAGCTCGCCCACCCCCCGGCCCGGGCCCAGCCTCTGCTCCTGCCAAGGCCTCCCCGGAGGCGGAGGAGGCAGCGCGCTGCGTGCATTGCCGAGCGCTCTTCCGCCGCCGAGCGGACGGGCGTGGCGGCCGCTGCGCGGAGGCCCCAGACCCTGGTCGCCTCCTGGTGCGCCGTCTGAGCTGCCTGTGGTGCGCCGAGAGCTTGCTCTACCACTGCCTGTCGGACGCCGAGGGTGACTTCTCGGACCCATGTGCCTGCGAGCCGGGCCACCCGCGTCCTGCCGCGCGCTGGGCCGCGCTGGCCGCGCTCTCCCTGGCAGTGCCCTGCCTCTGCTGCTACGCGCCCCTGCGCGCGTGCCACTGGGTTGCAGCGCGATGCGGCTGCGCCGGCTGCGGGGGTCGCCACGAGGAGGCTGCGCGGTGAGGACGGCTTGGCGGGTCCCCTTAGCCGGCCCGAGGGCCCAAAATTGAGGGTCCAGGACCCCGGACTCCATTTGGACCTAAAACCCAAACCTAGGCACACCCGGAACTTGGAGCTTGAGTTTGGACTGAGAGATCTCAGACCTGAAACCTGGACCCCAAACTTAGGACTGAGAGACCCCAGCCCCAGCTTCACTGGGATGTCTGTCCAAGAGGTCCCAGGCGTTCTGAGTTCTGGCGTTCCCCCATCCCCACCCCCCACGAGGAGGCTCCAGGTGTCCCATACTTTGCATCTCAGAAGGGCCAGAGAGCGCATAGATCCTAGAGAGGGCATAAATCCTGGAGAGGGCAGGTCCCTGTTGAAATGAACGATCTGGACCACGGTCATGCCTGGCACCATGTCCCTCAGATTACAGCCCCACAATTAGTCAGGAGTTGCCCATACCTGACTCTGCCTTTATTCAACTCCCAGATCAGATCTTGAGACCGCAGGACCTAGAGTCACCCCTAAATAGTCCCTGAATGTTCACCTAAGACCTGGTGTCCCCGCATCTGAGACATTCCCCTAGTCCCAGTATCCCTGAGAGAGCAGGACCCCCAAGACAGTTTCAAATAGTTTGAAACTCTCTTGTGCTCTGGAATCTCCAGATGCTGCCCCCAATCTACCCACTACCGAGTGCCCACAGACCTGGCCTCCAATCCAGGAACACTGAAGTCTAAGGTGTCCAGGGAGTCCCCAGACACCCTAGGACCCCAAAACGCTTAAGATGCACTGAGCACTTGGATATGCTCAAACACGAGATGTTCTCTGACCAAAATGACTTGGGAGACCCATCCCAGAGCCCCCCCAAGATCCAGATGTTGGACACCAAGATGCTCTGGAAGCCGGGGATCAAAGACCTATGTAGGCCCACCCGCCCCCAAACCAGTGTTCTCAGGAGCTTTGGATATCATTTATAGGACTCAGAGGTGCCTGGTGTCCTCAGATGTGTGACTAAAGGTCACCAACACCTCAGGGCTGAGATACTGGTCTCGAGTTCTCAAACAACCCTCTCTTGCAGTCCCTCCTGGACCTGGATTTTGAGACCCCCAAATGTCCTGGAATCTTCAGCCTCCTTCTACCCACAGACCCCCAAACCCCCAAGGGCTGGGAGTCCAGCTCCCAGAAGATGGGATGCTCATGGCGACCCAGACCTCTGACCCCCTGGGACCTCAGCCCCTGAGTGACCTGAAGGTATTTTAGGAGCGCTGGATGCAAGACCCCAAGGTGCCACTGACCCCCAAATGCAAGGCTCAAGCCTCTACAACATTACAATTGTTCCTGATCCAAGACCTTGGTCCCTCCACATCAGAGGCATTCAGATTTGAGGTGCCCCAAGACCCCAGCACCCTCAGACCCCAGATTTCTTTGGACTCAAACCTCTCTAGCGTGATGAAGCCTGAGCTGCCTCTCCGCCTGAATCTCCCAGCCCCACCCGTACATCCTCTGAGACCTGCTGCCCCTTGAATCCTGCCATCCATAGGCCCCCAAAACCCCAAAGTTCTAGACTCTGGAATTCTGGTCCCAAGGATCCCAGCCCAAGCCCCTGGCAATGCTGAGAATCACCCCTTTATCCTAGGGTGGGATCCTTATCATTTGGAACTCTTTGTAGGACCACCCAGGGTAGGGTGCAGTGGTTCATGCCTTGTAATCCCAGCACTTTGGGAGGCCAAGGAAGGAGGATCGCTTGAGGCCGGGAGTTTGAGACCAGCCTGGCCAATGTAGTGAGGCTTTGCCTCTAAAAAAAAGGACAAAGGACCAACTAGGAGCTCCCTCACTGTCACCTCTAGGACTCTGCATTGTCACAGATGATTATGCAGGCTCTTCATTAAGTGAAGGCACACAGCCCAGGGTTGACAGGAGCTGGAAGTCACATCACAGTCTGCTGGCCACACTGGGGCCCGAGGAACTGTGTGATGGAAGCTTTTAGGCTAGCTATGGCTCTGCTGCCCACCCCCGTGACCCCCCAGCCTTGCAGATCCTCCTTCAAGCCCAACCTTGATCCCTAGTTCAGGTTCAAGTCCAACCTTTTATGTTCTCCCACTCCATTAACCCCTTCTCCTCCACTTTATTTTATATATATATATATATTTTCAATTTTATTTATTTATTTTTATTTTTATTTTTTTGTAGAGACGGGGTCCACCTATGTTGCCCAAGCTGGATTTATTTATTTATTTATTTATTGTCTTTTTTTTTTGTTTTTTCCCTTTTTGTGGAGAACGGGGTCTCGCTATGTTGCCCAGACAGGTCTCGAACTCCTGAGCTCAAGCTATCCTCCCGCCTCTGCCTCCCTAAGAGCTGGGATTACAGGCGTGAGCCACAGCGCCCGGCCCATATTTTTTTTTTTTTTGAGAGGGACTCTTGCTCCATTGCCCAGGCTGGAATGCAGTGGCATGATATCGGCTCACCACAACCTCTGCCTCCTGGGTTCAAACCATTCTCCTCCCTCAACCTCTGGAGTAGCTGGGATTATAGGTGCGTGCCACCAAACCCGGCTAATTTTTTTGTATTTTGAGTAGAGATGGGGTTTCACCATGTTGGCCAGGCTGGTCTTGAACTCCTGACTTCATGATCCACCCACCTTGGTCTCCCAGAGTGTTGGGGTTACAGGTGTGAGCCACCGTGCCTGGCTCTTTTCTACTTTAGAGTAGGAGGTTGCTTCAGAAAGTTTGAGAGCCTGTTTCATAGCCCGCTAAGTCTCTTCTGTAGAAGGGGGGTGCCACAGGTTTTTCTCCCCAAGTGAAATGGGACTTCCCAATGGATTGAAGATCTGGTGTCCTGTATGGGGGCGTCAAGGTTTTGGAGCAAGACAGTCTCAATGTTGTATGGGCTTGGGATCTGCATCTGGCCCCAAGCATCTGGAACTGTGCACTTACCTTTCTTCATTACCCAGACTTGGATGGCCTTGTTGGGGTTCAAGGGATAGGTCTTCTGTCTCTTCCTTTAAATTATTAACTATTTATTATATCCGGAACCTGTGAGATTTAGCTCTCCCAACCAGACCTTCGGATGGGTGAGAGAAAAGCAGGGTGTCTCTCCCCTCCTCACTCTGCCCAGCTCTCATCACTGTCAGACCCACCAGAGCTGAAGGCAGAGGGATTGGGGGCTGGGGCAGCCTGGGTCCCCATGCCCCTCTCTGTGCCTCGGTCTCCCCCCTTCCATGGTGGGCGGGGGGGAAGCTCCATTCTTAACCTACCTCGTTTTGGGGAGGGGTGGGACAGGGGACCAGAGTGCTGTACGGTGCTGTGGGATCTGCAGTTAAAGCAGTGGGGGCTGGGGAAAGGTCCCCTGGCTGCCACTTCCCAGCAGCACCTCTCCCAGGCCTCCCAGTCCTGCTCCCTGCTGAGACCCACCTCTGATCCATGATTCCCCTTCACTGCCCCCAAATCAGGGGTGCATGGAGGGCTGCCCTGGGAGCCAGGAAGACCTCAGCCCCTGGAGCCCCCAGGCCCAATTTCCCAGCCGCTTGCCCCTCAGATCGGATGCTTGGCCCCCAGATTTGGGGGAGGCACCCCAACATATATCTTCCTGATCTTGATTCTAAGCCAGTCTGTGACCTCAATATCGTTAGTGTCAGTGCAGGCTGAAACGGTGGGGGAGGATGGGGGCCAAAGACCCAGCCTTGTCAACCAGGGGGAGGGGCATGAGATCTGCTCCAAGAAATGTCTGTGACAAAGTCTTAGCCTGTGTTATTTATTTGCCTCTGTGCACCCCGCCCACTCACCTTCCTGAACTGCCAGACCAGTCTCCGACTGAAATTCTCCCTTCTCCTCCACATCCTTTGGTCCCATCAGACCCTTGAGTTTTATAAGGCACTCAACAAGTGCATTTATTGAGCACCTATTACATGCCAAGCCCTGTTGAAAGCACTTGAGAAAAAGCAGTGGGCAGAACAGACAAAAATTCCTTTATAGTAGGGGAGACAATGAGTAAATGACTATGTTAGAAATGATATATGCCAGGCGCAGTGGCTCATGCCTGTAATCCTAGCACTTTGGGAGGCTGAAGTGGGTGGATCACCTGAGGTCAGGAGTTCAAGACCAGCCTGGCCATTATGGTGAAACCCCATCTTTAAAAAAAAAAAAAATGATATAAAGCAGAAAGAAAAAACAAAGGTGGGAACGGGATGCAGGCCGTTTTAGCTAGAGTGGCCAGGTTGGGACTGCTCAGGAGCCAGCATTTTTTGTTGTTTTTGAGATGGAGTCTGGCTCTGTTGCCCAGGCTGGAGTGCAGTGGCACGATCTCCGTTCACCGCAGCCTCTGCCTCCCGGGTTCAAGCGATTCTCCTGCCTCAGTCTCCTGAGTAGCTGGGATTACAGGCACGCGCCACAATGCCTGGCTAATTTTTGTATTTTTAGTAGAGACGGGGTTTCACCATGTTGGCCAGGCTGGTCTCAAACTCCTGACCTCAAGTGATCTGTCCGCCTTGGTCTCCCAAAGTGCTAGGATTACAGGTATGAGCCACCATGCCCGGCCAGGAGCTGGCATTTGAATAAAACCCTGAGTGGGGTGAGGGAGTACTGAGGATGTCTGCAGGGAAGGGTATTTTAAGTAAAGGAAACAGCTAGTGCAGGGGCCTGAGGCAGGAGTGTGTCAGGGAAACCCGAGGAGGTTCGGGGAGTTAAGAGGGGAGGAGGCAAAGAAGAAAGCGCCAGGAGGCGAAGGGGCAAGTGTGTAAGGCCTTGCAGGCCACTGAGTGGACTTTGGTTTCTGCCCTGAGTAAGACGGAGCCACAGGAAATTTCAAACGTGGGAGGGATGTGATCTGACTCAGGTGTTCACAGGCTCCCTCTGCTGCAAGTGGTCGACAGGTGGGGGCGGGGAGAGGGGGCAGCGTGACAGAGAGGAGGCTGCTGTGATGGTTCAGGACAAGACGTCGCGGATGGGCCCAGGGTGAGGGCCCTGGAGGGCAGAGAAGTGGGCGGCTGCTGGGACCACTTTGTAAGTAGAATCTACAGATTTATATATGCGGTTTGCGATAGAGGAGTCAAGGTTGTTAAGTCCAGGTTTTTGGCTGGAGCAATTTATTTATTTTTTCCACTTGACATCCGATTTCTTATTTTTTATTTTTTGAGACGTTGTTTCGCTCTTGTGGCCCAGGCTGGAGTGCGATGGCACGATCTCGGCTTACCGCAACCTCTGCCTCCCAGGTTTAAGCGATTCTCTTGCCTCAGCCTCCTGAGTAGCTGGGATTACAGGCATGCACCACCACGCCTGGCTAATTTTGGATTTTTAGTAGAGATGGTTTTCTCCATGTTGGTCAGGCTGGTCTCAAACTCCCAACCTCAGGTGATCTGCCTGCCTCGGCCTCCCATAGTGCTGAGATTACAGGTGTGAGCCACTGTACCGGGCTTTTGTTTTATTTTTAATTGAGTTCATTGCTCAGGCTGGAGTCCAGTGGCATGAGCACAGCTCACTGCAGCCTCAAACTCGTGAGCTCAAGTGATCCCCCTACCTCAGCCTCTTGAGTAGCTGGGATTACAGGTGCATACCACCAAGCCTGGCTAATTTTAAAAATGCTTTTGTAGAGATGAGGTGTCACTATGTTGCCTGGTCTGGTCTTAAACTCCTGGGCTCAGGTGGTCCTCTCACCTCAGCCTCCTGAAGTGCGGGGATTACAGGTGTGAGTCACTGTAGCCTGCCTCTGGGCAATTTTTAACATTTGATTTAGGTCAACAAATGGCCCCCAAAGTGTGCTGCCTTGGGGTAAACAGGGTTATGGGGTTACTCAGATCTGCCCTTGAGGAACAAGTTCTTTCTCTCTCTCTCTCTCTCTTTTTTTTTTTTAAAGATGGAGTTTCGCTCTTGTCACTCAGGCTGGAGTGCTGCGGCGGTCTTTGCTCACCGCAACCTTCACCTCCCAGGTTCAAGCAATTCTCCCGTCTCAGACCCTGAGTAGCTGGGATTACAGGTGTGTAATTTGTGTATTTTTAGCAGAGACGGGGTTTCACCATGTTGGCCAGGATGGTCTCAATCTCTTGACCTCATGATCTGCCCGCCTCAGCTTCCCAAAGTGCTGGGATTACAGATGTGAGCCACTGCACCCAGCCAAGGAAAAGTTCTATCCCTGTTCTTCCCTCCAGGCCCCTGGTCCACTCCTGACTTCCAGCAGAATGTCTAGGAACTCTGGATACCAGGATACAGTAGGGAAGCGATGAGCTCTGATACAATGTTTTCTTAGGGACAGCCACAAAACAATAGTGGTAATAACAGTAGAAATTGGTTCAGTGGTTTAAAAGCATAGAATTTGGAATTTGATCTTCATTTCTTGGCACCACCATGAATTCACTCTGTGACTTATCTTCTCTCAAACTTATTTTCTCCTCTGTAAAAGAGATAAGATGCTTCATCCAATAGTACACATTAAATGCTATGTGTATATATATATATATAATTTATTAAGTACTCCCTATATATCTGCTAAGCACTTTTTATATATGAAACTCTAATTAATCCTCAGCAACAATTTTAAGAGGTAGGTACTATTATCCCCATTATACAGATGGGAAGCAATTTGGTAGGAACACGGAACTGCTGAGTAATGGAATCAAACCCTAACCCTTGTCTGCCTGACTCCTAGGGGGTAATCTCTTAACTACTATGGTGCACTGCACCTGCTCACTCGAAGGCTTAGAAGAGAGAGGAGTGGAGGCGAAACAGGCACATTGTGATGGATGAGGAGGGCCTGGTGCGTGAGGGGTGTGCCGGGATTCCTGGATCCTTTACATAATTCAAACCCTGAGGTGGAAGGAGGGAGGAAGTTTTGGATTTTGGGCAGAGTTGAGTGAACACCACTCCCTCTGGGCTGCTTTAAGAGCAGAGGACAGGGCCAGGCACAGTGGCTCACGCCTGTAATCCCAAAACTTTGGGAAGTGGAGGAGGGAGGATTGGTTGAGTCCAGGAGTTAGAGGCAAACCTGGGCGACATAGCTAGACCCCCTCTACAAAATTTTATTGTATTTGACATGGAGTCTCCCTCTGCTGCCCAGGCTGGAGCACAGTGGCTTGATCTCTGCCCACTGTAGCCTCTGCCTCCCGGGTTCAAGAGATTCTCCTGCATCAGCCTCCCAGGTAGCTGGGACTACAGGCGCATGCCACCACGCCCGGCTAATTTTTGTATTTTTAGTCGAGATGGGGTTTCACCATGTTGCCCAGGCTAATCTTAACTCCCGACCTCAGGTGATCCACCCGCCTTGGCCTCCCAAAGTGCTGGGATTACAGGCGTGAGCCACTGTGCCCGACCTTTACAAAACTTTAAAACAACAACAAAATTGGCCGGTCGCGGTGGCTCACGCCTGTAATCCCAGGATTTTGGGGGGCCGAGGCAGGCGGATTGGCTTCAACCCAGGAGCTGGAAACCAGATTCGGCAATATGCGGAAACCTTGTCGCTACAAAAAAATTCAAAAATCAGCGAGGCGTGGTGGTCTGCGCCTGTGGTCCCAGCTACTAGGTGCAAGCCACCAAGCCTAACTACTTTTTTGTTGTTGTTGTTGAGATGGAGTTTCGCTCTTGTTACCCAGGCTGGAGTGCAATGGTGCGATCTGGGCTCAACGCAACCTCTGCCTCCTGGGTTCAGGCAATTCTCCTGCCTCAGCCTCCTGAGTAGCTGGGATTACAGGCACGCGCCACCATGCCCAGCTAATTTTTTGTATTTTTAGTAGAGACGGGGTTTCACCTTGTTGACCAGGATGGTCTCGATCTCTCGACCTCGTGATCCACCCGCCTCGGCCTCCCAAAGTGCTGGGATTACAGACTTGAGCCACCACGCCCGGCCGCCTAACTACTTTTTAAAAATTTACCTGGGAGGCTGAGGTGGGGAGGATATCTTGAGCCCAGGAGGTCGAGGTTGCAGTGAACCCTGACAGGACCACTGCAGTCCAGCCTGAGCGACAGATCGAGACCTGTCTCAAAAACAAACCAACAAAACACCAGCAGAAGACAACTGAGGGAGGAAAAGGAAACCGATGTTGTTTTGATGTCCCTGCAGCAGTGACACCCGCCGCCAGCTTGTGACAGCTGAGATCCGGACGCACCGCAATTGACAGCGCGGGGGAAGCGGGGTTCCTAGAACCCCTACAGGTTACTCGAGAGGCGGGGCGGGCGGACCGGGGGGGCGGGTCCGGCGTCCTCCTGAGCCAATGGGAGCACAGAAGTCCCTGCGCGGGCAGATGCCGATTGGTTGGTACCGCCAGACGCTAGGAGCCCGTGCGTGCGGCGCTTCTGGGGCGGAGCCTGCCGCCGGCCGCCAGGGGGCGAGCGCCGGGCGCCGAGGCGACGCGTTCATGGAGGCGGTGAGGGCGGAAGAGCGGGAGGGGGCCGCGGTGGCCCGGGACCTGCTGGCTCTAGGGTAAGACGCTGTGCGGTGAGGCTGGTGGGTGCAGGAAGGCCAGGTCTGCTCCCTGGACGTCAACAGAAAGGGATTCTCAGTGACCTCCCCGCCCCTTCCCGCTCCCTCGGCCCCCACAGGTATGAGGGTGTCCCGGGGCTGGCGTCGCGGGGCGCCTCATGCCCAGACTTCAGGGCACTGTGCGCGCAGCTGGCGGCGGAGCTGGCGACGCTGGGCGCCCTGGAGCAGCAGCGAGAGGCGGGCGCCCAGGTGCTGAGCGCCGGCGACGGTATGCACGGAGCGGGAGGGTGGCAGGGGGCCCGCCGCGGGGCCGCCGCGCCGTGACGCCCCTGTCCCCGCAGGCCCCGGCGCGGAGGAGGACTTTCTGCGGCAGCTTGGCAGTCTATTGCGGGAGCTGCACTGTCCGGATCGCACGCTCTGCGGTGGGGATGGGGCGGCTGAGCTTCGGGGACCCGGCTCCAGCCTGCGCCTGCTGCGTGAGTCCCGGGGTGCGGAAGTGGCTAGTCCACAGCCTCAGGAGCCGCGGGCTCCGACTTTTTAGGGAACACCGGGGTTCCCAAGGGGGCGTGGTCAGAACTTTGGGGCGGCCCAGAGGGGTGCGCATATTGGGGTGGGCAGAGGACTCTCTCTGAGATAGGCGGGGTTAGAATTTTATTTTATTTTATTTTATTTTATTTTTATTATTTTTATTTTTTTTTGAGACGGAGTTTCGCTCTTGTTACCCAGGCTGGAGTGCAATGGCGCGATCTCGGCTCACTGCAACCTCCGCCTCCTGGGTTCAGGCAATTCTCCTGCCTCAGCCTCCTGAGTAGCTGGGATTATAGGCACGCACCACCATGCCCAGCTAATTTTTTTTGTATTTTTTAGTAGAGACGGGGTTTCACCATGTTGACCAGGATGGTCTCGATCTCTTGACCTTGTGATCCACCTGCCTCGGCCTCCCAAAGTGCTGGGATTACAGGCTTGAGCCACCGCACCCGGCTATTTTATTTTTATTTATTTATTTTTGAGACAGAGTTTCACTCTTTTTTTTTTTTTTTTTTTTTTTTTTGAGACGGAGTTTCGCTCTTGTTACCCAGGCTGGAGTGCAATGGCGCGATCTCGGCTCACCGCAACCTCTGCCTCCTGGGTTCAGGCAATTCTCCTGCCTCAGCTTCCTCAGTAGCTGGGATTATAGGCATACGCCACCATGCCCAGCTAATTTTTTGTATTTTTAGTAGAGACGGGGTTTCACCATGTTGACCAGGTTGGTCTCGATCTCTCGATCTTGTGATCTACCCGCCTCGGCCTCCCAAAGTGCTGGGATTACAGGTTTGAGCCACCGCGCCCGGCCTCAGAGTTTCACTCTTGTTGCCCAAACGGGAGTGCAATGACGTGATCTGGGCTCGCTGCAACAACCTCCGCCTCCCGGGTTCAAGCGATCCTCCTGCCTCAGCCTCCCGAGTAGCTGGGATTATGGGCGCATGCCACCACTCCCGGCGAATCTTTTGTATTTTTAGTAGAAACGGGGTTTCAATTTGTTAGCCAGGCTAATCTCCAACTCCTGACCTCAGGTGATCTGCCCGCCTCGGCCTCCCAAAGTGCTGGGATTACAGGCAGGAGCCACCACTTCCGGCCCTGGGTAGAATTTTAGTTGGAGGTTCTGGGAGCTCAAGTGGGTTGGATTAGGAGGGCGTTTGGAAGTAGGCAGGAGTTGAATTCGAGAGGGGACAGGGTCTTAAGAGTGGGGCTTACATTGGAGGCGGAACTAAGGCTTTAGGTAGGCAAGAGTAGAAGGTAGAGGCTTTTTTGTTTTTTGTTTTTGTTTTTTGAGACAGTTTCACTCTTGTTACCCAGGCTGGAGTGCAATGGCGCGATCTCGGCTCACCGCAACCTCCGCCTCCTGGGTTCCGGCAATTCTCCTGCCTCAGCCTCCTGAGTAGCTGGGATTACAGGCACGCGCCACCATGCCCAGCTAATTTTTTGTATTTTTAGTAGAGACGGGGTTTCACCATGTTGGCCTGGATGGTCTCGATTTCCTGACCTCGTGATCCACCCACCTCGGCCTCCCAAAGTGCTGGGATTACAGGCTTGAGCCACCGCGTCCGGCCGGAAATGGGGTTTCTTTACGTTGCCCTGTTAGGTCTTGAGGCGGGAGGATTGCCAAGAGGCTTCAAGCAATCCTCCCGCCTCAGCCTCCCAAGGTGTTGGGATTACAGGCATGAGCCACTGTGCCTGGCCAAAGTTGGAGGTTTTGAAGCCGGTGGAGCTTTTTGACCAAGATGGATGGATGGGGTAGCAGCCTCCCTGAGTGCACAGCTCCGGTTTCCTACTTTCAGGCTTTCTCTGCTCAGAGCTCCAAGCCACTCGCCTCCTGCGCTTGCGCTCTCTGTTGGATCCCAGTCCCGGGCCACCCCTTGGTGAAGGGGTGGAGGGAACTGGCATGGTCCAGGAACTGGGCCTTACCCTCCAAGCCCTGGGACTGCCCAGACCTGCACCAGGGACCCCCGCCAGCCAGCTGTTGCAGGAGTTTCATTCTAAGGTAGAGAGTCAGAACAATTCCCACCCTCCCCTGCCTCCTGGGCTACCCCACTTTCCCTGGGGCAAGAGGGGGGAGGGTCCTTTCTCCCTAACACCTCTGGAATGAGTGTTCCGACCACTGGCATGTTCTTTCTGCAGCTGTGACTGCCATTCTTGCATCTGTGGCCTCAGGGCTGTGGGGAGCTGGGTTTACAGAGGGTTCCAACCTCCCTGTCCCAGTTGGCCTCTGACTACTTCTCTCATCAGATCTCAGAGCTGCAGCCTTCTCTGCCGCCCGGGTCCCTGCAGCCCCTCCTTAGCTCCTCGCTAGATGCACCCAGATGGGTAAGACTGTGTGTGACTGACTGAATGTGAACTGTGTCCTCATCAGAGGTGGCAGTGAGAGGGACCCCTAGCCTGACCTTGAGACCTTTTCTCCCAGGAAGCGCTGGAGTCTCTGTCCCAGAGCCTGAGAGATCAGTACCACTGCCGCCGCTGTCTCCTCCTCAAGCGCCTTGACCTCACCACATCTGCTTTCCACTGGAGTGACCGGGCAGAGGTGTGGGCACAGGACCGGGCAGAATTGGACAGGCCCAGTTGTGGGGGGCTGCAGTTGCAGGGAGGATGAATGAGGGCCAGAGTATCACCCTTTTGGAGGTTCTGAGGCTGTGGCCATTTTAGAATTTCTTGAGGTTTGGGGCTCCTGGAATCTCAGGGCCCCAGAGTATTGTAGAATTCCCAGGTCTGAGCTGGGAGTATATTCAGAGGTATAACCCATCTTTAAGAGATACGAGCCGAGCCAGGCGTGGTGGCTCATGCCTGTAATCCCAGCACTTTGGGAGGCGAGGGCAGGAGGATCACTTGAGCCCAGGAGATTGAGGCTGCCGCGAGCCACCATCACATCACTGCACTCCAGGCTGGGTGACGGTGAGACCTTGTCTCAAAAAATAAATATTTGGCCAGGCGTGGTGGCTCATGCCTATAATCCCAGCACTGTAGGTGGTCGAGGTGGGTGGATCACCTGATGTCAGGAGTTCGAGACCAGCCTGACCAACATGGTGAAATCCCATCTCTACTAAAAATACAAAAATTAGCCGAGCATAGTGGTGGGTGCCTGTAATCCCAGCTACTCGGGGCTGAGGCAGGAGAAAGGCTTGAACCTTGGAGGCAAAGGTTGCAGTGAGCTGAGGTTGTGCCACTGCACTCTCCAGCCTGGGAGACAGAGCGAGAGTCCACCTCAAAAAAAAAAAAATGTATTGAGAGCTGTGGGCAGTGTCTTGAGTGGGGAGGTGATACTTCCAAGATGACAGGTCCCAGGCCGGGCGTGGTAGCTCATGTCTGTAATCCCAGCATTTTGGGAGGCCGAGGCGGGTGGATCACAAGGTCAGGAGTTCGAGACCAGCCTGGCCAAAATGTTGAAACCCTGTCTCTACTAAAAAGACAAAAATTAGCTGGGCGCAGTGGCACACGCCTGTAATCCCAGCTACTCAGGAGGCTGAGGCAGGAGAATCGCTTGAACCTGGGAGGCGGAGGTTGTAGTGAGCCGAGATCGCGCCATTGCACTCCAGCCTGGGTGACAGAGTGAGACTCTGTCTCAAAAAAAAAAAAAAGATGACAGGTCCCACCTGGGGACCTTCTCTGTACCTCCTCACCACTCCAGGCCCAAGGAGCGGCCATGAGAGCAGTGCTGATCCCACTTCAAGGGTTTCTAACTCCAGAATCGGACATCTCCCTAGCACATGTCCTGGCTGCCCGAGCCGATCTGTCTCATCTCGTCCCAGCCACCAGTGTGGCTGTCCGCAGAGGGACCTGCTGTGCCATCAACAAGGTGAGCATCTGGGGTAGGGGAGGGCCCTGGCATCCTTGGTTTTCAGATTGGCCTTTCAGCCTCTGCTCTGGTCCAGGCTTCAGACTCACTGCCTCTAATCCACCCACTAGACACAGCAGCCAGAGGGACCTCTCTCACACAAAAGCTTGACTGTGGACTCCGCCGCTTAGAACGCTTCTGTGGCTCCATAATGATTTGAAAACAAAGTTCAACTATTTACTGAGCCCCCGGCCGCTTCTCCAGCTTGGGCTTAAAATCCTTCCCCATCACCTCACAGTATCTATTGTGGTTTTTTTTTTTTTTTTTTAAAAAAAGAATACCGCCAGGCACAGTGGCTCACTCTTATAATCCCAGAACTATAGGAGACGGAAGTGGGCAGAAAATCTGAGGTTGGGAGTTTGAGACCAGCCTGACCAAGATGAAGAGACCCTGTCTCTTTTATTTATTTATTTATTTTTTAAATCTTTTTAAATTTTTTTTTATAAAGATGGGGTTTCACCATGTTGGTCAGGCTGATCTTGAACTCCCGACCTCAGGTGATCCGCCCGCCTTGGCCTCCAAAGTGCTTGGATTACAGGTGTGAGCCACCACGCCCAGCCGAGACCCTGTCTCTACTAAAAATACAAAATTAGCCGGGCGTATTGGTGCATACCTGTAATCCCAGCTACTTGGGAGGCCGAGGCAGAAGAATTGCTTAAATTTGGGAGGTGAAAGTTATGGTGAGCTGCGTTCGTACCGCTGCACTCCAGCCTAGACAAAAAGAGCAAAACTCCATCTCAAAAAATAAATAAATAAAAAAACACAGAAATCCCCTCTGTCGGCTGGGTGCAGTGGCTCACGCCTGTAATCCCAGCACTTTGGGATGCCAAGGTGGGTGGATCATGAGGTCAGGAGTTCGAGACCAGCCTGGCCAACATAGTGAAACCTTGTCTCTACTAAAAAATACAAAAAATTGCTGGGCACGGTGGCTGAAGCCTGTAATCCCAGCACTTTGGGAGGCCGAGGCAGGTGGATCACGAGGTCAAGAGATCAAGACTATCCTGGTCAACATGGTGAAACCACATCTCTACTAAAAAAAAAAAAAAAAAAAAAAAAAAAAATACAAAAAATTAGCTGGGCATGGCGGCACATGCCTGTAATCCCAGCTACTCAGGAGGCTGAGGCAGGAGAATTGCCTGAACCCAGGAGGCAGAGGTTGCAGTGAGCCGAGATCGCGCCATTGCACTCCAGCCTGGGTGATAAGAGCGAAACTCCGTCTCAAAAAAAAAAAAAAAAATACAAAAAATTAGCTGGGCATGGTGTCGCGTGCCTGTAATCCCAGCTACTCAGGAGGCTGAGGCAGGAGAATTGCCTGAACCCAAGAGGTGGAGGTTGCAGTGAGCCGAGATTGCGCCATTGCACTCCAGCCTGGGTAATAAGAGCGAAACTCTGTCTCAAAAAAAAAACAAAAACAAAAAACAAAAAATTAACCAGGCGTGGAGGTGGGCACCTGTGATCCCAGCTGCTCAGGAGGCTGAGGCAGGAGAATCGCTTGAACCGGAGGCAGAGGTTGCATTGAGCCAAGATCTAGCCTGGGCAACAGTGTGAGACTCTGTCTCAAAAAAAAAGGAAAGCAAAAAAGAAATGCCCTGTTTTAGTAATTGGGTATCTAGCCTCATCCTTCTGTAAGTAGTCTTACATCAAATGAGTATTGAGGAATAAAGTCTAGCACAGCAAAGATTAAGGCAAAATTTAAGTTAAGGAAAAAAAATGAGCTCGAGGTGGGTGGATCACTTGAGCCCAGGAGCAGAGGCTGCAGTGAGCCGTGCTCTCACCACTGCACTCCAGCCTGGGCGACTGTGTCCCAAAAAAAAAAAAAACCAGCTCATGCTTGTCTCTTCTACCAATTCAGCCCTCCCACCCCCACCCTCCCACCCGCCCACCCAGCCACTGTACTCCAATAGTCATCTGCCTTCCTTCTTCAGCCTCATGCTGTTCCCATTCTTCTGTGGCCCCCTTGTCCAGGATGCTTTTTCCCTCTGCAGCTCAAATCTCATAAACTTTCAGGTGCTTATGGGCAACGTTCCAGACCGGGGGGGCCGCCCAAATGAGCTGGAGGCTCCTATGCCCACCTGGAGGAGCCGAACAGACGGTGGAGGCGGACGGAAGACAGGCCCCCAGTGCTGGGGCCGCAAGAAGAAGAAGAAGTAAAGGGGGACTGGTGGGCGGGGGCGGGGGTCCTCCATGAGATGCTAATGCCGTTGGTCATCTGGGGAGTCAGTTTAAGTCTTTCCTTGGCCCCTCATCTCCTATTCCTGAGGCCCCAAATGCCCTACTCCCATGCACCCGTCAATACCAACAGCCGTGTTCTCTGGAGAATAAATTTAATTTATGACAGCTATAGGACCTCTCTCTGTGGGGGCCAAGTCAGGGTTGCTTGGGTTTGTGAAGGGGTTAGGGGTGTCTCTGCTCCCTGGGTCTGAACGGGCCCCTGCTGCTCTGACCCTCAAGGTTCTTTGCCCTAAAGCACATCTTTCTTGTGCCTTGGGCATGGGTAAGGAGACACTCAGGCATCGGACAAACATCTGTCAGGCGCCTACCACCTGCCAGCCCTGTTCTAGGCACTGGGGATGCAGCAGTGAAAGACGTTGATAGAAATCCCTACTCTCGGCCAGGCGCAGTGGCTCACACCTGTCATCCCAGCACTCTGGGAGGCTGAGGTGGGCAGATCATGAGGTCAGGGGTTCGAGACCAGCCTGGCCAATATGGTGAAACCCCGTCTCTACTAAAAATACAAAAATTAGCCAGGCGTGGTGGTGGGCGCCTGTAACCCAGCTACTCAGGAGGCTGAGGCAGGAGAATTGCTTGAATCTGGGAGGCAAGATTGCAGTGAGCTGAGATCGTGCCACTGCACTCCAGCCTGGGCGACAGAGTGAGACTCCATCTCAAAAAGTAAAAAAAGAAATCTCTGCTGTCCTGGAGCTGATGTTCTGATGTTCCTGGTGAGGAAGGACAGATGTTCAGGGAGATAAAGAGGGAAAAAGTATAGGCTGACAGATGGGGAAAGTTCTGTGCAGAAAAATTAAGCAGGGGCAGGGCGCGGTGGCTCACGCCTGTAATCCCAGCACTTTGGGAGGCTGAGGCAGGTGGATCACCTGAGACCAGGAGTTTGAGACCAGTCTGGCCAACATGGTGGAACCCCATCTGTACTAAAAATGGAAAAATTATCCCCGTGTAGTGGTGCATGCCTGTAATCCCATCTCCTCGGGAGGCTGAGGCAGGAGAATTTCTTGAACCAGGGAGGCAGAGGTTGCAGTGAGCTGAGATTGTGCCGTTGCACTGTAGCTTGGGCAACAAAGCGAGACTGTCTCAAAAAATAAAAATAAAATAAAAAAATAAAGCACAGAGGCAGGATCAGAACTGGGAGGAGACGGGGGACTTGCGTCTTGACTATGTTCAGGGGAAGCCTTACTGAGACGGTGCCACTGGAGCACAGTTCCAAAGAGGGGGCCAGACAGGCCTCTGGGGAAGAGCATTCCAGGCAGGGGAACAGCCAGTGCAAAGGCCCTGAGGTAGGAGTATTTGGGGCACATTCGGGGTGCGTTGAAGCCAGTGTAGCTGAAGCAGAACGAAGAGAGGTGAGGGGTGAGAAGCAAGGTCGGAGGGGTGATGGGGGCAGATCACGTGGAGCTTTGTGGGCCATAGTGGGGACTCTGGCTTTTCCCCTGAGCCGAGGATGGATGTGATCTCACTGAGGTGTCCATTGGTTGCCTGCTCTACCCACTACCCAGCTTTCTCTCCCAACTCTATAATCCCAGAGACCTGCTCTATCCTCACCCCTTCCTGACCCATAGTATATTGATCAGGAGCTTCAGTTTTAGGGCAGACAGAAGACCTGGGTTTGAATCTACCTCCAGCCCCTGGGAACTGTTCTACCTTGGCTTAACTTCAGGGAGCCTCAGTCTTCTTATCTGTGAAATGGAGATTTAGGGAGTTGGCGAAATGAGGCCTGAGTCTAAATGTGTCCAACACAGAGCTGCACAGATACTAAGTGCAGGGAAAGGGAGGGGGATTAGTATCCACCACCATGCAAGAGAGGAAAGTCACTTCCAGCGAAAATCATGACGGATGTGCCACCGAAGGCACTGTGGATGGGAAGGCGGTTGTCTCTGGGGGTCCTACCTCTGGAAGCCCTGCCAGAGTCCGACGGCAGGACTCAGGACTGACTGGGGAAGGGAGTGAGGGAGAGAGGAGACTGAGAGATGCTTAGGAATCCCGCTTGGAGGATGGGGTTGATGGTGGGTCCATTACTGGGCAGGGCACCTGGAAGGAGGAAAGGAAGACGTCAGATGATGTGGGGAGCATATGTCTAGGAGACACTTCACTGCCAGGAACGCTGCCCTGCCCAGACTGGTAAGTCCCAGATGAATGAATGTCCCCTGTGGAACCCTTTGTGGAACCTGTCTGAGAGTCTCTGCTCTGGAATAGTGGTGTTGACTCCATTAGCACTTTTGGTAGCTCCTGATATATTTGGCTTTATTCTGCTATCTTATTGGCTAGAATCCTTTTTTCTATTCTCCTAGTGGTTATCATCCCACCCCACCCCCAACACGTTGAAACTTCTATTTTTCTTTTTGAGACAGGGTCTTGCTCTGCTGCCCAGGCTGGACTGCAGTGGTGCAGTCTTGGCTCATTACAGCCTCTACCTCCCAGGATCAAGTGATTCTCCTGTCTCAGCCTCCCAAGTACCTGGGACTACAGGCACCTGCCACCACACCCAGCTGATTTTTGTAGTTTTAGTAGAGATGGGGTTTCATCATGTTGGTCAGGCTGGTCTCAAACTTCTGACCTCAAGTGATCCCCCTCCTTGGCCTCCCAAAGTGCTGGGATTACAGACAAGAGCTACCATGCCTATTTTTCTATCAGCATTAAAAATTAACCAGGGTCAGGCCTGGCACGGTGGCTCACACCTGTAATCCCAGCACTTTGGGAGGCCGAGGCAGGCAGATCACCTGAGGTCGGGAGCTCGAGACCAGCTGGCCAATATGGAGAAACCCCGTCTCTACTAAAAATACAAAATTAGCCAGGTATGGTGACACATGCCTGTAATCCTAGCTACTCAGGAGGCTGAGGCAGGAGAATTGCTTGAACCTAGGAGGATGACCCTGTAGTGAGCCCAGATTGTGCCACTGCACTCCAGCCTGGGCAATAGGAGTGAAACTCCATCTCAAAAAAAAAAATAAAAAATTAACTAGTATCCATACCCTCCCACCCCAGCAATCAAGGACTTCTGCATATTTTTAACTTTCCTGTGGGTCTCCAAATCTGTCCAGTCTCCCCCAGGCCAATGGCCTGTGTCCCCTGTATCCAACTGGGGGTAAGGGCAGTTTCTCCTCACCGTCTCTGGTTCCCAGGTAGGGTGTGGGGATTCAGTCTGGGTCCAAGCATGGCGAAGCTGGCACCCAGTCTCAGGTTCCAGGGATAGCGTGTAGGAGAGATTTTCCTCAGAGCCTGTTTGTGGACGGATAGAAGGGGCGTGGGTCTGATAGGAAGGGCCTCGTGACCTTGGACTTAACTCCCTTCCTCCCCCAGCCCCCTCCCAGCACTTCGGTACTCTAGGTCTTACCACAGCTGGCGTGGGGAGCTGGCGTGGGTGGGACAGGGGCTCCGGGGGGCCCCGCATCACCCTTGGCCCCTGGCCTCTTCTTACACTCCACCTTCACCTGGTCTCTGCAGTGTTTGTGGCAACACAGACCGCACTCTGGGGGAAGGCAGCAGTTAATGGCCAGGGGTCCAATCTGTGCCATCCATTCTTCCAGCCTGTGGGCCAAGGCTTCCCTCCCAACTCGCTGGTGCCCCACTCACCCCTACAGCGGTAGCCTTGCTTGGTGACACCCCAGAGCTGGGAAGAGAAAGCAGAAAGGGTTACGAAGAGGGAGGGCTGTGGATTGGCAGGGCAGCTGGGGAGTGGAAGTGTGGAAGCTAGCCAGGTTTTGAAATTCTCAAGACTAGAGATTTAATTGTAATTAAAGGAATGTGGGTGGGGTACAGTGGTTTATGCCAGTAATCCCAGCACTTCAAAACGCCAAGGTGAGAGGTTGGGAGGCCAAAGTGGGAGGATCGCTTGAGTCCAGGAGTTCAAGACCAGCCTGGGCAACATAGGGAGACCCCCCCCACACAAAAAAGTTGTTTAAATTAGCCATTAGCTGGGCATAGTGGTGTACACCTGTGGCCCCAGCCACTTGGGAGGCTGAAATAGGAGGATCAGCTGAAGTGAGAGGATCGCTTGAGCTCAGGAGTTGGAGGCTGCAATGAACCACGATCGTACCCCTGCAGTCCAGCCTGGGTGACAGAGCAAAACCATCTCTTAACAAAATAAATAAAGGAAACTTGGAGATTATCTCAAGTTTAGAGAATCACCTAGGATATTAGATTTTAAATTTCAAGTTTCTAAAGTGCAAATTTTTTTTTGTTTTGAGACAGTTTTGCTCTTATTGCCCAGGCTGGAGTGCAATGGCATGATCTGCGCTCACTACAGGGTCACCCTCCCAGGTTCAAGCAATTCTCCTGCCTCAGCCTCCTGAGTTCAATTGATTCTCCTGCTTCAGCCTCCCGAGTAGCTGGGATTACGGGCATGCTCCACCATGCCTGGCTAATTTTGTGATTTTAGTGGAGACAGGGTTTCTCCATGCTAGTCAGGCTGGTTTCGAACTCCTGACCTCAAGTGATCCCAGCTGGCCTAAAATGCAAATTCTATGGGCAGGATTTATCTGCCGTATTCCTACTTTATCCCCAGGGCCTTGGATGACCTAGCACACAGGAGGTGCTCAGTAATTATTTCATGAATAAATAAATGAATGTGGGAAGTAATCCAAGGTTTGTGAATTAGTCTCAGGTTAGAGGTTGAGAGACTGATCCACTAGCCAGAGTATGAAGATATTTTGAATTTGGAAATTATTCAGGGTTTGAATGAACTGCAGTCTAGAGCTTCGGAGGATGATGCTGTTTGAACATAGTCTACCCAGTTTTGGAGATTGTCCAAGTTTCTTTTTTGAGACACAGTCTCCCTCTGTTGCCCAGGCTGGAGTACAGTCGTGCAGTCTTGGCTCACTGCAACCTCCACCTCCTGGGTTCAAGCAATTCTGTGATGATCCCAAGTAGCTGGGATCACAGGTGTGCACCACCACGTGTGGCTAATGTTTATATTTTTAGTAGAGACAGGGTCTCACTATGTTGCCCAGGCTGATCTTGAACTCTTGAGAGCAAGCAATCCCAATAGTGCTGGGATTACAGGCATAAGGATTACTATTCCTAGCCTCCTATCCAGAGTTTTAGATATTATCCATGATTCAGTGATTTTTCTGGGGGTGGGGATTATCTGGGATTTGGGGATTATCTGGCATTTGAAGATTATCCAGGATATAGGGAATGTCTGGTGTTTGGGTTTATATGAAACAGGATAATTCGAGGCTGGAGGATTTCTGGAATTTGGGGGTTATCTGGGGCTTGGGGGCTGCGGCTCCAGGACAGATGGAACCTAAGGGTGGTGATGAGGCAGAGTGCTCACGAAGCCACTGCAGCTGTCGCAGAAGGTAGGCTTGCGGAAGGTGACCTCATGGAAGGTGTGCAGGAAGGCCAGGCCCAGCTTGGAGCAGATGGCGCTGGCCCGGAGCAGGTACCCCGTCAGCTCC